TTTTTTTTGTGATTTTTGTAGTTTTCAAGAATAATTTAAGCCCTGAACTTTTTAATAAGGACTTTTACGATGGAGAGGAAATGTATAGCGTGTCGAAATACGCAGAACAAGAATGTTATTCGGTCATTTCATAAGATTATATTAGCATAGACGTAGGCATATACAGGGAATAAGGCTTAATTTATTGAACAGTGTAAAGACATTTAGCACTAGTATTGTGTATTTAAATAATAATGTTCTATATTTTCTGATCAGGTTTCCTAGAGAAATAATTCAACGTAGAATTTGGCTGCAAAATGAAAGAAGCCTTAGTATGTTCTGACCATTTTTGTATGGCAGATATTTATGAAAAGTTAAGACACATTTTAAAACATAATTCTATACCTATCAAGTAAGTACAATATTTATTATGGGTATTTTTATAATATGTAAGCTCTAAAATTATACAGAAATCATCACATTTTAAAAAAAGACTGCTACCAGTAAGGTAACTTAATAATTTATATTGAGAGAAGCATACAATTATATATAATTTTTTTCTAGTTTTTTAAAGAACAATGTATCTGGATCACCACTTCCTAAAAGGTAACATTGTAATTGTGTATGTTATATAAATTATTGGATTATTTTTGATGTAAATAACTTATTTAAGAAAATTAGCACTGCTTAAGTCAATGCTGAATTAAATATAAAATATTTTAGATATTCAAATCTTTTGTGTGCCTAACAAGCATTTTATTTCAGAATCAGTAATTTTTAATTTTAATTAATTTTTTATCTATTTTTAAGTAACTGGTTCCATAAAATGCACTTATTCTTATTCTTTATGTAAAATGTTTTAATACATGTCCATATACTAACAGTATATTGTCTCCAGATGATACTAATTTTATCATTGAAGACAATAGTTTATAGTAACTGCATTGAACAAAAGAAAAAAGATAGTCAAAAGATTCACAGGTTATTGTTCGGACAATGGCATAGTAATTAGTCCCTAAAAAAAATTCTACGATCACTATCCAAAGTAGGCTTTTGCACATTCAAATTAAATTAAAAAGTTGACGTTTTTCCCGAACTGTCATAATTTGACATTATTGGCGCAAAACGTGCACCAAAGTAACTTTAGGTGAGTTCGGGCTGCGCACTCCAGAGTGGAGTGGAGTAATTAGGCGTAAACGGAGTGCGAATATGATTTTACTCCTTTAACTCTCGGAGTGCAATGTCAGTTGTCAAGGTGACATACCAGCACTTAAAATTTAATCGTACTTATCAGTAACGACCGTATAAGTTTCTTCCATATTAATGATATTCACGAGAACCAAAAAAAAAACTTATTTACTAAAGAATCAGTCACAATTAACTTATTATCGATTTAAATCACCTTATGCGCATGCCCGATCCACACTCCACTCCACCATCACCGAACGGTCAAAGAGGAACTTTTATTTTAACTCCTTCCGTACCCGAACGCCTTAGGTACTTTAGGAGTGAATATAGTGAAAAGAGTGCGTAGACCGAACTCACCATTTGGCACACGCTCGTCTGTTTTCATTTGAATGAAATAAATGAAAGCTAATTGATATTTTAAAACAATATATAAGTTAATCGAAAATATTAAATTGACTTCCTAATATTTTAAATCATTTAACAGTATTTTCTGTAAATAATTAATCATAAATAATTACCGACACATAAGTACTAAAAACTTTTCGCTTCGACAGATTGCCATGCTCCGCTAACGCGTCGCTCGGCAACTTTTTGTCTCAACTGCCAAATGTGTTACTTTCTGTTCTTAATACACAAATAGCTATTTTGTCTTTTATGCCAAAATAATATACTTTAAAAAATATAAGTTATTACAGTAAATAAATCTATTGAGCAGGTTCTTCATTAAGAGTTTGTAGGAGTAACCATTGATAGTAAAATGACATTCGAAATGCCACAAAAGAAGCTTCCTTCAGTTTTTTTCTATTCGGACAAATTAGAAATAAAGTCTCTCTTAATAATGTTAAGCTAATGTATTTTAGCCTTGTCCAGATATTATAAAATCGTTGCTGATCACTCTCCTAAATGAGTTATTATATCATTACACAAATAATGCTAAAAATAGGTGTCGTGACATGCAACCCAAATGGTATGTAATGGAAAGATCCTATTTGTACATTTATGTATCTAAAATAAAATTGTTTTACTGTTTTTAAAAAGTTTTTTATTTCATAAAAAAGGTAGTCCGCAATATAATATTTTTTTTCGACCTGTAGAAAAGGATTTCTGACAATACCCATGTAAAAATAATAATATATGGCGCTATATTTTTACTTGCTCTTCATGTATTTAAAAAAAAAAGATAATATTTAATAAAATACTAACAAAAATGTTCTTCCACTTTGAGCTACCTACTATTTTAATCTATAAAAAATATATAAAATTACTTTTTGAATGCCCTGTATAAATTGAATGTTTTCTTTAAATTTATCTTTGATTCCGAAGACCCATAGGTTATTGATTTGGTCATTAAATAATTTTTACTAAAAAATATATCTAAACCCTCCGAAACACTACATCTATGTGCGACGTACGATTCCCCTTTCCCCGTCTGGTATAACATGCGGACAGAAGGTGTATTGGGTATACAGTGTGAAGGGCGAGTCTATCTTAGATAATGGGTCCTATGATTAAAAGGTCTGTGATTGAACGTTTACGTTATCCGTAACGTACATGTTAGGCCGAATTTTAACAGTAACGAGGCAAATTTGCATGATGGAAAACTGTTAAATTAGAACATAACAGGCGGAAAATTACAGTAATGTGTTGGAAAAAGTTTTCTATCTTACCAACTTGCCACATTACTTTTAAATCTCAGCCTAACATGTACGTTACGGATAACGTAAACGTTCAATCATAGCACCCAATATGATGTCTATGGAGCCAGCGCTGGTTAGTCGAATACGCCATTACCCGTGGCCATTACTTTCCGCAGTAGTTGTCACAAAATGTCAAACACCTGATTTCTATTTTGATCTATGTAATGTCAATATTAATACTAAAATCGATATGATTGTTAAATTATTGAAATCGTTGTAAATTAGATCCTAGATATTTATCTTTAACAATTATTATTAAAATAATGTTTGCTCTTTATTCTGGTTAAATACATAACCGATTAGATCATTCAATTGACACAAGGGCTATTAGCTCAGGTGGTTAGGACGTCGAACTTATCAACTTTGCCATTTTTCGACCGCGTTCGAATCCTGGCGGGGCAGATTTTTTTTTTTTTTATTTTTTTTTATTTTTTTTTTATTTTTTTTTTTAGTTTTTTTTTTTGTTTAGAAAATATGAAAATTGAATAAATACGATTATTGTTGAATATTTTTTTAAATACATTTTAATTATTATAGTAATAATAACCTTGGTTTTACATTTTTTTGATGACATTATTTTGTGGTCGTAGGAAAAATATTGTACATCACTTGTGTGAAAAGTGATTTTCCACAGTGGTGTGATAGTCGCACTCGGCTTGCGCCTCGTGCGACAGTATTTCCCACTCGTGTGAAAAATATCACTTTCCACACTCAATAGGTCTTTTCCTTTGCATCGAAAGTGTAGCACTGAGCTACACCACTTCTGAAAATATCGTTCCATTTATCCAAATTGTATGGATGGCACGACATTTTCAGAAGTAACGTAGCTCAGTGCTACGCTCTGACCACTGTCGATGCAAAGGAAAAGACCTATAAATAGGTTCTTTCGTTCGCTATTGGTGTAGTGTCCACCAGTGTAAATTACACCAGTTACACCACCTTATTTATCCTAATTTACTTCCTCCTTATACACATCGTCGAGTGTAATTCACTCCTGCTAAATAGCTGGGGTGCTATTTTCAAAGTCGAGAGAATTCATTTCTCTCGAGAGAAATGTCATACGTCAACGTAAATCAGTATTTTTAAGGGTCCTAAGGGCCAGTGTAAACTCACTGATTGTTTCTCACGGTTTATTTAGAGATAATTAATATCCTCCTAAGAATTTTAATCCTCGAGGCCTTTAAAAACAGCGTTTCCACATTGACGTATGACATTTCTGATGAGAATCTTGAGAGAAATGAGTACTCACACGGTTTGAAAATAGGTCCCCGGGGGACCTATTTTCAAACCGTGTGAGTACTCATTTCTCTCAAGATTTCAGGAGAAATGTCATATGTCAACGTGGAAACTGTATTTTGAAAACCAGTGACTACTCACTGACCTTTTCTCTCGGTTTATTTCGAGAGAATTCATATTCTCAGGAGAATTTGACCACGTGATTAGGGGCGTGGGTACCCTTCCTCCATGTGTGTACCCATAACCGATGTGTGTACAAGGCCAAGTCACATACTACCTTTCTCTCGATAGAGCACTCCTTTCTCTCAATAGAGCACTCCTTTCTCTCGAGTTTGAAAATAACCCCCCAGGGGTGCTATTTTCAAAGTCGAGAGAATTCATTTCTCTCGAGAGAAATGTCATACGTCAACGTAAAACAGTATTTTTAGGGTCCTAAGGGCCAGTGTAAACTCACCGATTGTTTCTCACGGTTTATTTAGAGATAATTAATATCCTCCTAAGAATTTTAATCCTCGAGGCCTTTAAAAACAGCGTTTCCACATTGACGTATGACATTTCTGATGAGAATCTTGAGAGAAATGAGTACTCACACGGTTTGAAAATAGGTCCCCTGGGGGCTGCGTTTGAGAATCCACATCGGATGCATTTTTTACATCTCGAGCGTTTTTTTATCCACATCGGACACATCTGTCCCATTACATTTACGTATACTGAATCACGTAATCAAAGATTTTTTACATCTCAGATGCATCCGATCACAATCCGATGTGGATTCTCAAACGCAGCAATTACACACGCGTCAAATGGTGACACGCTGAAAAAAGAACTAGATTTTGCTTCGAGTGTACCAGATTTTTAGAAGATGTACTAGATCTAGTACAATTGTACTAGACTGGCAACACTGCTTGTGAATGTTCTTTCCTTCTTTTAGGTTATGTTTAAATATCAAGTTATTTGTGTCGTGGTTAAAAAATAAAATTATAAAAAATGGTGCAACGACACAATAATCAATTACCAAAAAACCTTCCCCAATTACAAAATCTCATAAAAAGAGATCCGCCATCGTATCATGAAGAATTTATGCAACAACTTAAGCATTTTCACAATACAATCGAAGTATTCAAGTTATCTCCTCACCAGAACAACAAGACTTTGGACGATTTAGTAATGTTTATGGCCCAAGTTTCACAATGTTATCCAAAAGAATTAGAAAACTTCCCCCAGATCTTAATTGATCTATTACAAAGTCACAATACAGTTTTAGACAACAATATGCGGATGACTTTGTGTCGAGCTTTAATTTTGCTTCGAAATAAAAACCTCTTAGAGCCAACAGACCTTTTAGAATTATTCTTTAAGTTATTAAGGTGTCAGGATAAGGCACTAAGATCCTTTTTGGAGAATCACATTATTACAGACATTAAAAATATTAATAGGAAGCATAAAAACGCAAAATTAAATTCGACTTTACAGAATTTTATGTTCACAATGCTGAAAGATACGAATGTTCGAGCAGCCAAGATGTCTGTAGATATTATGATTCAATTGTACAAGAAAAATATTTGGAATGATGCCAAAACTGTGAATGTAATTGCAACAGGGTGCTTTTCTAAAGTAATGAAGGTAAGAAATATTTGTATCACTTACATATTGATTCAGCTAGTGAATTGAAGCACAATGTGAGATGTTTTTATTATTTAATGTTTACTGTAGGTCATGGTTGCTTCCTTAAAGTTCTTCCTTGGCAAGGATCCTGATGAAAAGGACTCAGATGCTTCTGATTCTGATAATGAAATTGATCCGAAAGAAGTAATGATGGCTAATAAGGTCAACAAAAAGACTAGAAAAAGAGAGAAACAGCTAAATAAAGTAAAAAAGATTGCTTCAAAAAATTACAAAAAAAAATCTGAAGCACCTGCATTTAACTTTTCTGCAATACACTTGTTACATGATCCTCAAGGTATGGCTGAAAAACTGTTTAGGCAAAACGAGGCTACTAATAGACGATTCGAAGTTAAACTACTTACTTTAGATGTTATATCCAGGCTCATTGGATTACACGATCTCTTTTTGTTTAATTTCTATCCATATATTCAAAGATTCATGCAACCTCATCAGCGAGAGGTCACCAGGATCCTTCAGTTTGCAGCACAGGCCAGCCATGAACTAGTTCCACCAGACGTCATCGAGCCTGTTTTAAAAACTTTGGCAAACAATTTTATCACTGAAAGAAACTCTTCTGATGTCATCGCCATTGGTTTAAATGCTGTTAAGGAAATTTGTGCTAGGTGTCCATTAGCAATGGGTGAGGATCTCATTCAGGATTTGGCACAGTATAAGACTTACAGAGATAGGTCTGTCATGATGGCAGCTAGGTAAGAAATACTAGACACTTGCTTAGAATATTATAGTAGAATCTGTCAAAAATAGTCAGAAAAAGAATGTCATATATTAATAGGCTAGGTAGTAAGATAAATGTGCATTTCAGTTTAGTACAAAAATTAATTGAAGTGAGGTTTGTAATAATTGTTTACCAACAATTTGCACACTACCTCTGAGGTATTACAGTAGGATGTTAAAATAGCCTAAAAATGTGTTGAGGTTGTTTTTTAAAAAGCTTTAAAAACTGAGTTGCTCTACTTGCTTTATTCGAAGCTAGCAAAGCATCCTGTAGTTTTTTTTAAATACTAACTTTTTTCGAAAAAATTTATAATATTTCAAGAGTCTAAAAATAGACTAAAAATGTGGCATAAGTAGTTGTTTCCAGAAAAAAAAAATAAACTGTGGTGCACTACTGACTTTGTTCCAAAAATAGCAATTTTTTAGTTAAGTTTCATAATGTTTCAAGTGCCTAAAAATGGGGTATGATTGTTTTTAGAAAAAAACTTTAAAAAACCGAGATGCTCTACTGGCTTAGTTCAAAGATAGCAAATAAAAAATACCAATTTTGTTTGAAAAGTTTGATATTATTTCAAGAGCCTACAAATAGCCTAAAAATATGGTGTTTTTAGAAAAAAAACTTAAAAAAACTGATCGTCTTTTTCGAAGCTATCAGAGCACCTTGATTTTTGCAAAAAGCGATGAGCATACAATTTTTGAATAGGGTATAAAAATAGCCTAAAAAAATGACAAAGGTTTCAACTCAAAATTCTCTAGGTCCTCTGCTGCCTTCTCTGGCATTCTGTTAACTTTGTAGAATTGTTGTTACAGCTGACTATGTTATGATTCTTTTTTAAATAAGTTAATAAAAGAAAAACAAAAAATGATCTACCGGTTACGGTATATATCCACTGCCACTGAGCTATAGTAGCCATGAATATAAGATGCATGGCAACATAGTACAAATTGAACCAAACAGGTATGCACTAATTTATAATATGGCATATTGGTGCATTGGATTTAAACCCCAAACGTATTCCTATTAATATAATTTTACTATTTTCTTTTAATAAATTTATAGATATTTCAAATATAAAATTGTTACATAAGGGACATGGGAAAATTGGAAGGTATCACTGTTTGGGTTGGCAGATGTACGTAGTTGACAGGTAGCATGACAATTGATAAAACGTGCAGTAGTATCCGTGCTAAAGCAAATTGACAATTTGATAATGGGATCAGTCATTCTTTGGACCCTCTTCTCACTGATAAATGTCCTTGATGATGATAGATGTGTCCGTTCCCACGTTAAAAGGACATTAAAGATCATCATTTATCGAAAACCCCCACTTCTTCAAATATATATAAAACATATCCTAATCACATCTGCAATATTAAGGGCCATTCACACCGCTTCAGAATAAATTTCTCTTTAGTAATGTGAAACTTATTATTCAAGTATTACTTATCATAGTTTAATTCGCACCAGACGATTAAAAAGCAACAATTATTGATGTGGTAACGTTAAGATTTCTCTGGATAAAGAAGAAATAATGTCAAATTTTATTTTGAATGTTGAATAAAAGTTAAGATTGTCACAGGCGCAGAAGAGATAACAACTCTCTTCTGTGTCACAGGGCTATTTAAAAAATTAGATGAACTAAGAAGTAAAAAAATAGAGCACAAAGTGCAGCCATAATGAAAGTAAAATCAGTATTAATTCCACCAGTTGATAAAAAAAATAAAAATATAAAAATCATACCATAGTTGAAAGATATAAATTAAAATTAGCCAGTACTACCAATAGTTTAATGCTAATTTTACAGAAAATCCGCAGAAAAATCTCTTTTTAAAATTAGTTATAATTGTATTGTCTATAAAAATGTTTGAGATTGAAACATACATATTTATTATAAGGATACTATAAATTTGCTTCAATTTCATCAAGGAAATTGAGAAGTTTTTTTGGCCAACCTAAATCACAGTGTAAAAGTAATCTGTTCTTGTATATTTTATACTCTTCATGGTATCCAATATTAATAGATCAAGTATTTTCAAAGCATCGTCATGTTGCATTATTTCCATTTTGTATATTGCAACTATTTACAAAGGCGTATTAGTTAGTAGTTATAATAAAGACTGATTTGTATAACTAGTGCTAATAAATCAATGACAGTCAAACTCTTTCAAAATTATAAAAATTAAACATGTTAAGGTTAATTAATGGTTTAAGCTGAAACATGTCGGATTAGAAAAGTGATTCTTAACGCCTTGATAAGTAGAACTTTATTAACGTTGCTAACGGTAATGCCTTCTTAAGTGTCACTTAGATTCTAAGTAAAAGCGATACGAATGGCCCTGAGCAGTCTTGTGAAGAGAATAGATGTAGATGTAAGGTTTGGTTAAAAAGTTTAAAAACTAAGTAGAGATATACAATTGTACGAAGATAAAAATCAAGTCATAAAAGACCTACCAAATTTAAGTCTCAGGAAATTTTTTTTGAGATATATCATCTTCAACTGCAACGAAGAGTTCAACTGATGAAAATGCGTTCTTGTTGAGTACTTATTTTGTATTACGACCATACTTAACAATCTACTGTATACAAACGTACTGAATGCCGTACAACAAATGGCGAGATGTTCCAATGATGCCAACGAATACGATAACCAAACGGAATGGTCAATGATGAATTACACAAGGGTAAATGATGGGAAGTTGCAAACATTCTCAATGCTCTTTAACCAAACAACGAACTACAAATTAAAATTGAACAATCGGAATTCTTAAGCCCTTTTCAAGTTGAGAGGGTTGGCTGTCACGTGCAGAGGATGAAAGGAGAAGCAGTTTTTAAGTCATAAAATACCTTGATTAAAATAAAAATTAACGGGACCGAGTTCACCTTTTTGTTTTGTTTTATGGCCTAAGTGTATATACCTAATATGCCAGTCTCAGTTTGTGTTAGTCTTCTTATTCATGTGTGGGCTTTGTGGTTGTTTCCCAGCGCCACTTCAGGAACAGCACTGTTAATTAGAACCCAACAGTTAATGATCGAGTGTATTTTAATTAACACAGTTCACAGGGGGTAAGACTTAACAGCCCCACTGTTTAATAAAACATTGTACATTAATTAATAAAAAAAATTGTGAAAATCAACACTAATTTTACTATTAATTGATATGGATTAACTTCAAGTAAGATTAGAATTTTAGAATCCTGTTCATAATAATTATTGATGTTTTTCCAAGGACCTATGCTTCTCTCCCTACTTCTTCATATAAATTTAGTTATTCTAAGATATTTTTTATTTTAGATCTTTGATTCAGCTGTTCAGAACTCTTCGACCCGATTTGTTACACAAAAAAGACCGAGGTCGCCCTACAGAAGCTGGAGAAGAATTGGAACAGCTCGATTATGGTAAAACTATAGCAAAAGAATTTGTCCCTGGAGCAGAAGTACTACTAGAAGAAAAAAATACTCACGTTGAAATAAATTCCGACTTAGAGTCCGCCTCTGACGATGAAGAATGGATAGATATTCAACATTCTGATAACGAGGGGAACGATAGCGGAGATGAGGAAAGTGATGAAAGCGGTTCTGAAGAGGAACATGAAGGTGAAGATAAAGAAGTAACAGTAAAAGAAAAAAAGAAATCTAAAGAAGAAAAGAAAGCTGAAAGGGCCAAAAACAAAGCGGAATTAGTGAAAATGAAAAAAGAACAAGCCCAGAAAGTCAGTTTGGAGAGAATTTTAACTGACGAAGACTTCAAACAAATAGAAATGGCTAAATTGAGGAAGCAAGTCACAACAGCTAAAAAAGGCGTCAAGAGAAAGTTAGAAGAATCACTGGTCGGTACTCCTTCCGAGATAGTAAAATTAAGCGACATTGAGAATATCTATAAAAAGAGAAAACACGATAAACAAACAAGAATTGAAAGCATCAAGAAGGGTCAAGTGGATCGAGAAAAATTCGGTTACAAGGATGGAAGGGTAAACGAGCATTGTTCAAAAACTAATAGAGAAAAGAGGAAAAATAAGAATTTCCAAATGATTAAACACAAAGTTCAGAGGAAGGTGAAAAGGAGTTTTAAAGATAAGCAAATAGCTTTGAGGAATCACTTGTTGAAGTTGAAAAAAATGAAATAAGTTTATTGTTATAAATTGTTATGAAATAAAATTGCTCTTTTACTCTTTTTTATTTTTAAAATTGTTTTAAAACTGATAAAAAGTTGTAAATACTAACGGAATTATATTACGAATTTGTAAGATTATTAGTTTAATAATATGCAATCACTATAAGGTCTTTATTTTTAAAGAAAACATCATTCTTCCGTTTAATTAGGCCAATAGATGAATTTACACAATATTACAAAATTTCCAAATACACTCACTCCTTATGCGCACCTAATTTCAGTGGTTAGTTATTGTATTTTTTTGTACTTTTGTAGACATATTTCAGTATCAAACTGACAAACATAAGTTTTCTATTTCTTGGTTTATTAGGATGTTCCAAATATTTGATATTCGTGAGCTGTACCGCCTAAATGAATCAAGGAATTTTTGTTAACGATTATACTGCTGTGTCTATAATTAAGTTTTTCTACGAACTCTTACAAAAAGATATCTTTCGCCACAGGATACTTTCAGCGAAAACTTGATTTCCGTCACTAGTGAGAAAAAAAACCCATAACGTTTACTTTCGTCTCTAGTGACGAAAGTAAGTTGTTACATATTTTCATATATCAGTCGCCTCGTATAATATTTTGGCAGCTTATAATTATTAATAATGAAATAAAAAGATGCTCATTAAATTCTATATGCGTTTTTACCTAAACTTTAATGAATTAAAGATAAAATAAAAATAGTGCAAATTAAACCAATCTACATCTAGTTTCCTGGTTTCCATTTGTTTATTTGAAGTTTTATCACTTTTGAGAACTGTCAGTTTCAGTTCGTCCTAAATTTAACACATTTTCATGATGTCTGAGTCAGAAAGCGATTGTATTCCCCCAGAAATTATTTTTAAAGCTGAAGAAACCTCTTCAGATTTATTACCGGCCAAATCAAAAAAGAGATATGAAGAAATTTATATCAAATTTTTGGACTGGAGAGAAAAAAATAAAGTGAAATCATTTTCGGAAACTGTACTACTAGCATACTTTGGAGAAATATGTTCAAATTTTAAACCGTCGACGTTATGGTCCATTTATTCGATGCTAAGAACTACACTCTCTGTTAAAAATGATGTCGATATTAGTAAATATCCAAAGTTACGTTCGCTTTTGAAAAGAAAATCTGATGGTTTTAAAAGCCAAAAATCCAAAAATGTTTCGCCTGAAGACATACTTTCCTAAAGAATGCACCTGACTATAAATATTTAATAACAAAGGTAACGGAATTATTTTTATTTTAACAAATACTTAATACATAACTACTAATATTTGTAGGTAGCATTAGTTTTTGGATTATCTGGCGCTTGTCGTTGCCACGAACTAAAAGTATAACAATAAGCGATGTAAAGGATACTGGAAGTATTCTGTTAGTTAAAATCCGTAATACAAAAACAAAAGTTCCGCGTTCTTTTCATATTTCTGGACCCTTCTATGATATTTCTAAAAAATATATGAGCCTACTTCCCGCAAACATGGATCAAATTAATTCAAGATTCTTTATTAACTATCAGAATGGAAAGTGTAGCAGACAGGTTGTTGGAATTAATAAAATCAGTAAATTTCCTAACGAAATTGCTCAGTTTTTAACGCTTCCGAATCCTCAAGATTACACTGGGCACTGTTTCCGCAGAACATCGCAACGCTATTAGTGGATGCAGGAGGTGACTTGCTTCTGTTAAAAAAGCACGGTGGTTGGAAATCTAGTAGTGTTGCGGAAGGATATGTTGATGAATTCACGAATAGTAAAAACCAAATACAAACCAAAATTTTACAATCTGTACAAAATAAGGAAACTACTACTTCATCCGATTATGGCGCATCATCATCTGAAATGACATTTAAGAGTAGAACAAATATGTCGGCATCTACCTCAATAAATAAAAAGCTTGAGTGTGATACCCCATAATTTTGAACAATTGTTCAAATATAACAATCAATTAATATTTAAATAATAAATAATATTTCTGAAATATTTAATTGTTGGTTAATTTTTTGTTATTCCCAACACAAAAAGCATTTGCTAACGTTTGTTTTTTTTCATTTTAGTAGGTACCTACATGACATAATAGAGTTCGTAGAAAAAGTATAGTGTTTTACTCGTCGAAAATCATTTTCGTCACTCGTGAAACAATATACTATTTTTTTAATTAATAAAAATTCCTGCCATCGGTGGGATTCGATCCTGAGACCTTTCGATCTCAAAGCCATGATTCTAAAAATATTGTAAACCTGAAACGAAAAAATAAAATAAATGATAAAATAAAAAAATGAAACCAAGGAAAAAATGAAAAAAAAAAAAAAACAAAAAATAATACAAAAAAAAATAATACAAAAAAAAATAATCAA